CCCTATCACTCTTATCACCATAGTAGTTTTCATTTCATGTCTCCCTTTAGATAAGAATGTGGCTTTTAGAGGACTGATGGAGGAGGTAGGGGTTAGGTCTCAACTCAAAACTTACACTTAGGGGGGAGGAAGAAAGGCTAGGTGTGTCTTAACCTGAACAAGGTGCAATGAAATGTTATCAGGTAATGGTAGACCTTATGTTCTTGTAATGCATAGTCAAGCCTGCTCTAAGCTGTGCACTTGTTTGGCCCAGGCTGTATTTACTGAGGAAAAATAGCCCTTTAACCCTTTCCCGACAGGGAAAATTAATAAAAAAGGGGGGAAATTCTGTGCTCATTTTTTATATTTTTGTGAAATGTTCCTGTTACTAGATGGCTCTGCCTTTCCTTGAATTGGTGCAAAAAACGTATTTTTACTAGTGCTATAAATATAGATAGTGTTATTTTTGTTATAAACATTCTAATTACTATAATGTTAAAAACATTTGTAACAGCAAAAAAAATAAAGTTAAATATTTTCGTAAATCAATGAAAAGGGTGAACGGGCGAGACAGGTGGTACTCGTAACTGGCTCATTGGTGATTTAGTACAAGTGTAGCCATCTATGTTTAAAAACAATTAAACAAGTAAACTCACAATGGGCATGGCATGTACGTACATGCCATGCCTGTTGGCAAACGGCTAAGAGTAGACTTATGGTCTCACTACCTAAAAAAATATTTATTCTGTAGCTAAAAGCATAGAGAGTGGGGTAATTCTATGTTTCTAAGCTTCTGTTTCTAAGCTTCTGACAGTACTCCACTTGAAGCCTGATGTGTTATTTGCTATGGCACATGGTTGGGTTAAACTGAAGATCTACACTTGAGTCTATGGATTAACTTTGTGACATATACTAAAATTCACTCCTAATCATCATTAAAGGGAAATTTGGAGAGGCCAGAACAACAGAAAATAATTTAATCCCTTATTGGGGATTAAATGAGGAGCTAAATCAAGAAAATGTTCATGAAAAAACATCACTAATAATCTGATATAAAAAAAAAGAAGCAAATACAGTCATTGCTGAATGAAATAGTAAAAAAAAATTGTTTAGAGAGAAACACTATAACAATCTTACCACAAATAGTATATACAGAAAATCCATCTGCAATCCGTGACAAATTACAAATACTATACCAACTTTAAGAACTGACAGTTTTGGACCCAAAATTTTACATAAAGGTTCTGAGTAACCAATTATGGCCTCTCTACAGTGTGAGTTTAGTTGTTTAATTGTCACATAGATGGCTAGAGGTGTAGTAAATCACCAATGAGCCAATCATGAGTACTCCCTGTCTTGCCCATTTACCCTTCTCTTTAATTTACGAAAGTATTTTATGTTATCTTATTTTGCTACTACTAAAGTTTATAACATTATAGTAATTATAATGTTTATAATAAAAATAACAACATCAATATTTATAGCACAGATAAAAAATACAATTTCCCGCCAATTCAAGGAAAGGTGAAGTCAGGTAAGGCAGAGCCATCTAGAGACATTTCACAAAAAATATAAAAAATGAGCACAGCATTTTCCCCATTTTTTATTCATTTTTCTCCAGCGGCAATGGGTTTACCCAATGCATCTGGGAGAATATGGGGATCACTGGGCCTCTCCTAGGGGAATGTGCACAGCAGACTGGGCTTGCCTTAGGGGCCTATCTCAGATGTTTTCAGTGCATCACACTTGCCCCACCACACAAACAAAATTACTTTTCTTTTTTCCATCATCTGTATCTAAAACATTATTTTAATGTTTCTGCATATTCAGAGAAGTATGCTATTCATTTTCGTTGCTAAATTGTAATAACCTAATTATGTACATTACAGTCCATTTCAATAAATTAAATATGTTACACTCCATGAAAAAGATGAACTGTGGTTTTACACCAATCTTATTCATATGAAATATGAGATTGTGTGCAGTTATATACAAGGCTGGTACTCACATAGCTTCAGTACTTCCCTTTTGTGCGTAACACTTCAAGCTAGTCACAAGGGCAGAGACGTATATGACAATCTGTGCAACTGTCATGAGGACTCTGATCACATAAGCTAGAGTGAAGGTTACTTACAGGTTTATATTAGCAGGAAGAGAGCTCAATGTTTTGGTGCATGACATCTTCTAGGTATAGCAAGCAAATGATTTATGTATATCACCCCTTTATACATAACAACAGCCATCCAGAGCATTACACATCCCGTTCTCCTTCAGGCAATGTGACATGTGGGTTCATAAAGAACAGCATAAGAGCAAATGCATTCATCATAATAACACAAAGTGAATGACCTACTATCCTGAGCCAAGCCCAAGTCAGCCGTAAAGTGAACCCCATGTCATCCAGAGGATAAGGATTAAGCATTTTCTAAATAGTATTACCATAGATCCTACAGTGATAAGCAACTTAAGATATTCTTAATTATCTCCCACTTTCTTGCCTACAAAAACTTACATGCTTGTGCTAAGACCAAAAGTCCTCTTCAGAAGAATCCCAGCCAGCTTCTAGCTTCTCTGCTGTGTCAAAGTCTACCTGCTTGTCATATTCATAGCCTGGATCACCTGGCTTCAACTGATTTTTCTGGAAAGTGTCGTCCATTATCTGGAAGATAAGGACATTGTTTAGATACATGTTTTAACACACTTTGTGTAATACCACATCAACACTAAAAATCAAGAAAGTTTACAATGTTCTTAAGCTATAAATATTTCTTCATTTAACACATTACATATATCATTAAAGCCAAGAAGTATAAGCTTTTCAAGTAGCTAAAAGGAACAGTAATTCCAACTTATAATACTGGAATATCAATGTTCTTAAGGAAACATCTAACAGACTAGTTTGTGCTACCTGAAAATAATTCTGTTCAGAAGGAAAACTTGTAGCAAATTTCATCCAAACCAATTCCAGACACAACTTCTGGAATGCTTTGGATATAATGAGAATGTAAAATACAGTAAAGGTTGTGTTTGAAATTAGTGATATGTACAAACCTTCTTCTTTCTGTTCAGCTGTTTCATCATTCAACTTATTCAGGTCCTGATTTGGATCCAGATCATAGTCTTTACTTATATTAGACACAGCCTCATCTATGCTTCGACCCTTTTGGGATTCTTGCAAAATCCTCAGCATCTTCTCCAATCTCAGATCTGGAACCTTTTAATGAAAATTATATGACCAAAGCTACAGCTAAGATTTCCTATCAAATAATGTAAGTAATCCTAAACATCTTCATAGAAACTACATATAAAAACTAAAAGAAAGAATAGGTCTTACTATTTCTATAAATATTTCCATAGAAAACAGATGACTAAAAGGCAAAATAAAAACAATTAAACAGAACTTAACTGTTTGAGCAATTCTACACAACAAGAGTTTAATATACTATACATGATGCCATATACAAATGTATTTCAATAAATGCACCAGTACAAAATCTCTGGGCAACAAGCAGCTTTGACACCTATGGAAACATCAAAGCGACATACATCAAATAACTGCCAGTCATTGTCATTATCATTATTTGTCGTCTTTCTTTGTCACCATCATTATCTATGGTCATCATTATCTGTCACCATTATCTGTCGCCATCATTATCTGACATCACCATCTGTGGTCATCATTAGCTGCCACCATCATTATTTGTCATTATCATTATTTGTAATCATCATTACTTGTGTTCATCTTTATCATTATCTGTCATCATAATCTGCCGTCATCATTATCTGTCGTCATCATTGTCTGTCATCGTTATCTGTCGTCCTTATTGTCTGTTGTTATTATCTGCCATTATCATTATCTGTCATTATTATTGGTCATCATCTTATATTATCACATATGCATCATAGTTCATTACTGACATTATTAATTCAAAAGAAACTGCATATCTCCTATTTGTTCCAAATATGACATGGTGTTGTTCAGTTAAATGTCTGTCAGATAATGTTAAGTGATTCCATATTTTCTATATTTTCTGCAAATATTGCATCACTGCAAAACAAAAAACTCCTTTAACAAAA